GCTGGTAGTCATCATGGAGTGACGTCAGTTGGTGGAACATTGGGAATCTGGGAGAACTGGATATCTGTTTCATCCTAGTGAGAGATACCTCAGAAGTGCTCACTCATCACCTCGACCGGCTGACGATCTAATCCTGGACCTTTAATGTGATTTTCGTTACCTATGTGTTTTAATGGATTAGATTGTACAAATTGATTAACTGCTCTTCTCTTATATTTCTATGTATTTGTAAGTGTGGTTAGAGTTATAATAAAGACGGATAGTGGCTAGTAGTGGAATCAAGGATGTGCATTTCGTCCTATTTGGGACTCACTAGTCAACTGGATGTACCTGCCGGCTCCCAGTGAGTGATGTTGTTCCCACCGGGATTCAGACTCGGGAGTGATCGCTTCTTACATAATTGATAATTTGTATAATGGTAACTAAAGAGTGAAAATTAACTGTTACGTAAAGTGGTAAATTGTTGACGGTAATTAGAGACAGTGGGGGGAGAAGACGATGGCTAAAACTGTAATAACATTAACAGAGCTACTAAAATATTAGTTATAATCAATTAAGGGAAGGAATGAAATGAAGAGTCTTGTTGTGATAAATGAGCTATACAGATGGCCAAGGCAAAGAAAGAGGCTGTACGAATCTCTTCTGAACACACAGACTTGGCTTGTTTAGGTGGATTCCTATGGCTTCTGCTGTACGTAAAAGACGAACTCGTAGAACATGGGTGAGGTTAGTTAGGTATGGGATAAATAACTTTAAAGCCATTATGAATGTTAACTCGGTGGCCGGTGTCAATCAGATGAGAGAGTATTGACCTTCGTATCGATCTGGTTTGCCCCTTACTTAGCCATGAAGGGTGATGCTTGGCGATTCAACGACAGACTTTTTCAAGTTTCACGAAATCTTTCTACTATAATTAATCTCCTATACTTTAGTTAATTGTCTTAATTACTTAATCAACTATCACCTTCTTCATACTTTCAGATTGATAACCTTTCATTAAACAACTCTCACTACTAGATTGGTATATAATTTTGATTGATGAGGGTCTAAATGAAAAGAAATATTTCTTCGCTTACATTATTTGTTTTACAAAATGTCTAAATGGGAATTTTTGCATAAATTAATTCATTTCAGGTCTTTCCGTTGTACTGCAGTATACATCACCCGTTACCATAGCAATTAAAGATAATGTCATTATTCTGTTAAAAAAAACTACACTGAAACAACAGAAAACACAAAGTTGAATAAGGTCATCTGAGAGTCAAGTGTTTCAAGGTCATATTGTTCAATTGTCAATATTTTATTTAAGATAAAATAATTTCACACTTAATGTGAGCATTTCAAATACCTGAATCATTAAATGTTTATGAATGTAGACTAAAGCTGTTTAAGTTAAATAAATTATATTAAATATTTCTCAATAAAATCGAATGAATGAAATAGAATCTTATGTTGATCATTGTACAATTAAGTACCTAACTTATAAATAATTATATGACTCCTCAACAGTACGCATCCACAACCCAGCTACGGATCTAACTCAGGACCCTTAGGTTTCAAGACGAACGCGTTAACCATTCAGTCACTGTGTCAGTTTCCAGTGGTTCACAGTTTCCAACTTCTGTCAATTCACGATGATATAGCTTGACTATCACCCAAGGTCTTTAGTTAGCATCGACTTCACTTCCAACTGGTTGACCCTATAGGTCACGGCTTCTCAGTACAGCTTCATGATATCCATGTAGAAGCAAGTCACTAATGAGTACTATACAGTAATGTGGGTACGTACTCATGAGGAGTCTCATACTTGAAGGAAACAGCTGTCCAGAGCTTCCAGATTTTCAATGGTTCTTCAAATGATGTCACTGCATGATGAATACCACTTCCAAATTAAAAAAATCCCCATTCATCTCAAGAATAAATATGTTCAATGCGATTCTAATTTATCTATGATAAGATAAGCTGATTGTTACCAAACATATTCCTTAGGATATAAGAGGAAAGAAGAAGTTCAGTGAAGATATAGTCTGTTTGATGATTTCATTCTCTACAGCTGAACAATCATAATTTGTACGCTTTTGATTCACTTCGTTGGATTTTCTCAAGCGTCATCTCATCAAGCCTAACAAGAAACATTACAAGCCCCATTCAAAGTGAAGAGTATTCACAAGAGAGTGATGCCATCAACACAATTAACTGGTTAGAATATACAAGGAAGCATAACAGATAGAAATAATTTTTAAAATAATCCGTGATCATGATTGTATTGTGTTCTCTGAGCTGGGTTGTTTAATCGTGGAGAAGCTTTCATCATTTTTCTTCTAGACGATATCACCAGCACCAACTTCAGTATGAAGTAATGACCTGTCAATATCTCTGCATGAGTGATTTAGTAGCTTACCCTGACACACAGGTTTGTGATTGGTTGTTTCCTTTGATTGTTATGTCATCGACTGACTGCATAGATTTTCCTGTTGCCTATTCTTCTGCTTGACCTCTAACCGTTCTGTCGTTTGTCATACATTGCACACAGTGATACAATAATCATGATTAGATGACATATTGAGCAGAGTTTATTGTTCATCTGTGTGTCAAGGTAAACACACAACTTGTTAAGACAGTGGAGAATATTTGTGCCTTAGGTGGATGATCTTGGATGCATTGTGTTCTGTCATTTCGATTGGTTAATCGTTCAACTTTCATCGTCTTTCTTCTAGACAACATCATCACCACTAACTTCAATGTGAAGTAATGAACTGTCAATATCTCTGCATGAGTGATTTAGTGGCTTGATCTGACAATGTGATCTATGATTGATTGTTTCCTTCGATTGTTATGTTATTGACTGACTGCATAGACACTCTTGTTGTTTGTTCCTGTGTTTGAACTCTCACGTTTCTGTCGTTTATGATTTTTGTCATTGGTTGATAGATTGAGTGTATATCTATATATATCGATTGACTGTTGATTGACTTGAATGTCAAGCTTCTAGGAATTCTCTGTTATTCTTTGTGTTTCCTATTTCCAAGATTTCTGTATCATCAAGATGTCATCTAGAAAGAAGATGAAAGTTCCACGACTAAATAACCCAACTCCGAGAATGCAACACAACTAAGACCATCCAGCTGAGCTACAAATATTTTCCACTATTCCAAAGAATGTAATCAAGGAATGCATGGTAATTATAAGCCGAAAAATGACACTTATAATGCCTTGATAACTCTGAAACACTAGTCGCTTAGGAGAAGAAATCATTTTTCTCAAACAGAATGTGATAAAACAATCAGGTATCTAGCAGGATTTGTGGACAAAAGCATATGACCAAGATGACAAATAGATATGTGCACTTCATTTCTCCAAAAGAGGTACTATTCATGAATCTTAACTACGAAGGTGACTTTATTGCTGATATCTTGAAAATGAGTATTTCATACTCGCTAAATAAAACGTATTCCGGGTAGTTTATTCTCCAGCCTACCAGTAATTCCTGGTAACCCGAAGGATACGACCACCCTCAATAAATCTTTAAATCCTTGAATTCATCAGAAAGTTTAGGTCGCGATGATGTTTCAACTATAATATTTTATCATCCCCTGATAGATATCTTCGATGCATAGTCTTCTTAAAACACAGTACCCACTCCTTGGAAAGAGATCAAAGTTCTACTTGTGTCTAAGTCATATTTTGGATTAAATGTTACATTTCGATCCATCTCTATAACTTCTCTTTTTCTCAAGACAATGGAGAACTCACTTCTCCTTGTGTTTGGACCTTCATTGAAGGTTTTCAAAGATGGAAAACAATTTGATAACAAACATAGGAGAAGTACTTTGGATGTTGCACTGTCTTGCATCATAAATAAGCTTGCCATAGCTGATGCTGAGCCATGGGTTACAAATTGGCTATATTCTTATTTTTCTGAAAGGAAACAGTTTACCGTCCTTAAAAGTAGGCGTTCCAATTCATCGCTTAGTGAAGCTGGTATGCCTTAACTTGCTGTAACTTCTCCTTTTCTGTTTTCATTCTTTTTGCACGGTTTACCTTATTCCTTTGAAACTAATTTTATCAAGTATCCTGATGACTTGACGGTTTCTATTCCAGTCAACTATTCCTTGGATTGCTCTAAATTAAATGAATTCTTGTCTTCAAATGATCAATGGTTCTCTCAAATGGTCTCAAGGTAAACCCATAACTAAATGTCAGACAGTTAACTTTAGCCTCAGGTGTAAAGTAGACGGACTTATGTGAGCTGCTGAAATCTGATGTCCCCTGTTGCATCGATTCTATCTTTGGTGAAAGTAAACTGAGTGTGAGCTATCTTGGGTTGGGTTTTACTTCTGATCTGTATTGGTCGTCTCATATCTTGCTGACTTGTACAGAAAATCTTGCGCTTAACTTATTACATAAAGAAACTGAGGCTTCCTGGTATAAATCAACTGCTTTTTTTACAATTTATTAATTCTTGTATTTCACCTATTCTTCTATATTGTTTCCCATTAATCTTTCCTGGTCTTCGTAAAAAAGACTATGTTATATTGCGTAGGGCTTTGAAAGCGATCAATGGAGTGAGTGCTGTACCTTTGACCCACTAGATTAACACTGTAATTGATAAACATTTAAATTCTTGCAAGCAACTAGCTAGCTACAGTAATTTTAACTGACAATGAGTCTCCACTTCATTCATCACTCTCTTTTTGTATCTCCTCTCAAAGAGGACAAGAAGAAACTATATAGGACTGTACACTGGTACAGCCATTATCTAGTACACATCTGATTTGAGGAAAAACGTGTTAAGACAGAACTTACACATCAACTATGTAACAGTTAAAAATCCTTTTACAATGATTCAACAAACAATGTAAAATATTGTCGTAATTAATTTTCACTACATTACCTAGATTTTCATAATAAAACAATTTGAAATGTTATAAAGGAGCATATACATACACGCATAGTTTCTTTTTGTGCCACTGTATCATGCTTAGGATTCCAAACTGTACCTAAATATATTTGGAATAAAGTGAATTATTGCCATTATAGTTATTATTATTATTATTATTATAAGTGGTAGCGGTAGTAGTAGTAGTAGTAGTAGTAGTAGTAGTAGTAGTAGTAGTAGTAGTAGTAGTAGTAGTAGTAGTAGTAGTGGTAGTAGTAGTAGTAGTAGTAGTAGTAGTAGTAGTAGTAGTAGTAGTAGTAGTGGTAGTAGTAGTAGTAGTAGTAGTGGTAGTAGTAGTAGTAGTGGTAGTAGTAGTAGTAGTAGTAGTAGTAGTAGTAGTAGTAGTAGTAGTGGTAGTAGTAGTAGTAGTGGTATTGATAGTGTGAGTAGTAGTAGTGGTAGTGGTAGTGGTAGTGGTAGTGGTAGTGGTAGTAGTAGTAGTAGTAGTAGTAGTAGTGGTAGTAGTAGTAGTAGTGGTATTGATAGTGTGAGTAGTAGTAGTGGTAGTGGTAGTGGTAGTGGTAGTGGTAGTGGTAGTAGTAGTAGTGGTAGTAGTAGTAGTAGTAGTAGTAGTAGTAGTAGTAGTAGTAGTAGTAGTAGTAGTAGTAGTAGTAGTAGTAGTAGTAGTAGTAGTGGTAGTAGTGCTTATCAATTTGTGTAGTCTTGCAGGACTAGATATGTTGGTCGCCGTCTCCACGTTTTTTCCAGATAGGTTAAAGAATATTGCCACATCTGCTTGCGAAGAGGTGAGAGTAGACCTTTTCACAACTGTAATAATTTAGCATCTTTTCAAATGTTGTCATAGCATCACAACTGATTCAATGCACAGACTAACCTACAAAGTAAAAAGAAATTTGTCAAAAATAGTATTTTCCAGCCTTTTCTACATTACAAAAGATCCTGCCGCATGCACGAAACTTGTTCAACATTTGATACTACCTTGTGCCTAGTTAATAAGTGAAAATTTTTAACGTCCCACTTCCCTTCTTATGATTTGAAGTTCTCCTATATTTCATCAAATATTTTAATAATATAGTATCGTCATCATTTCGTTTCGAACACTTCATCATACTAGATCTCAAAAAAAATTTTGTTGCAATCTATCCGGTTACTTCACTCGGTATCCATACTGTTTCGTGATGTTCTCACCTGACATTATTATTTTTTTCCCTTGGGTTCATAGTGGAACATACGGCTTCAATAGCACGCCTCCATTACACTCTCTTCTCTCCAGTCTTTTCAAGATGGTTCCACCACTGCCTACAAACTTTCATTTCTTCCTCACACATCATCTCCTCCATGTCACCCTCGCCTCGCACGCCCAACTCGTCGTTCCCACTTTGGGTTCCACTCGAGGGCCTGGTCTGGTGCGTGATGTCCCCAATCGGCCTTCTCAGTGTATCTCTAACACAATCCATCTCCATTCTCTTCTGCTGCATATTTGTTGGGTGATGGGTTCTTGCTTCGTTGGTTCATTGCCAGCCAGCCAGAGTTCCTTGTTGCTTATTCTTAATATTCTGGCCATCTGATCTGATCTTCAGTATCGAGTGAGAGAAGAAGACAGGTGTTCATGCACGTCTGTACTTTTTTGGAAATGCTTTTCGTAACACACATCAAGTTTCTGAACCTTCACGTAGAACCAAGCACTGACTTGACTGACATTAGTATTGATAATCCGGATGTTGTTCACGCATTATTCTGAGTGCAATGCAGTGCAGTACAATAGATCTCCACACTGATTTCAGATTGATGAAGGCCTGTCTTGCTGTCAATCCGATTCTGGCTGGCTTTGACATCCTCATCTGTAACGATGCCTGTAGTTGAAATAATGCTGCCTACAGTGTTATATAGTAAAGCATTATTAGTGTGGTTTTCATTTGGCTGTCTGCTTAAGATATTTCAGTTATTTGATCTCATACACTTACAGACAACTATTTGGGTCCATTTTGTTGATAATACTTTCAATTTGTTGTGGATATGTAATCTGAATGGCTAACTGTTTCCTTTCATCAAAAAGTCTCATTGTTTAGCGTCAAGCATTTCTGAGGTTCATTTATGTTATCAACTGGATAATGATTTAAATAGTGCCATAGATATATCCATATCAATCATGTACTGTTATCGCTGGGATATATATGAACTACTCAGTACTCAAGAACGCCAAGTCTACTATACACAGTAAGAAGGCATAAGTATCAGTTGGTCGAGTCGAATCCTGTTCTTGGCTATAAGCTGTGTTATCATCCGGTTAACTGCAATTTAAGTCGAAGAATTGGAAATCTGACAAGACTGGATAGTTGTTTCGTCCTAGTATTGGACTTCTCAGCCGTGAGCACACATGACCCCACCCCACCACGTATCGAACCCAGGACCTTCAGATTCCGTGACCACTACGTTACTATTCAGCCACTCGGTCGGAATCCAGTTGTTCACATTTCCTACTTCAACCAGTTCGCGTTCTATCACCACTTACATCCAATGTCTTCATTGAGTAACTGTCCGCATATTCGACTTCGTTGACTCCACTGGTCACGACTTCTAATTGGAACTTCCCGAATCACTTCTCGAAGCTAGTCACCAATGAACACTAGATTGATTCTATCTCGAGGTTTATTAATTGATTTCAGGTTTGAGTTCATCATGGACTGACATCAGTTAGAGGAACACTGGAAACCTGCAAGCACTGGACAGCTGTTTCGTCCTAGCATGGAGCTGCTCAGCAGTGCGCAGCTTGGTTTTTACATTTCACTGTAAGCTTTAGTTTATACCGTCAAAGATTCACCGTTGTAAATTTAAGAAATTGCAAAATGACGTTAAAACAATCACAGATGATTTCAGTAAAGGATAAGCTACTAAAACTGAAGTTAGTTTTTGATCTTATATCTTGTGAATCTTCACCGTCGATTGAAGTGAATTGAATTGGCTAACGCTTTGGTTTTCGAAGCAGTCAGTTGCTAGTTCGGGTCTTGGAGGGAATGACATCACTCACTGGAAGGCAAGTACAGCCAGCTGACAAGTCCCAGCTCTGACGAAACGCGACTCTGCAAGCTATTATCCTTCATTAGCACCAAAACTCAAGTGAGTTAGTGAGGACTGGGGTCAGTAAATCAAACCAAGGTACTTATGTAAAAAATGGTTGTAGTATCAATCATTTTCTTCAGCAGAATAGCATAGTATATGAAACAAAGGTGAAAGTATCGTTCAAAATGACCGATTACCATGGAAGTTGGAGCCAACGACAGCCTCCTTTTCGACACACACGTTCAACTTAGCTTTTCTGATACTTACTATTTACTTCCTAAATAATCTGATGTTTCATCTACTACCCCTTAGTTAATTGTTATATTAAGACTTAAAACTAACTAGTCTCCTTATTGAACACAAATTTACTCGACCTGCATATTCATTAACCTTCGATTGTTGATAGGATGATTGTTTTTGCCATGGTGGGACTAACTTGGTTGCTCATGTGGTTACTATCTGATCTACTGTATCCTCTATAATATTATCCTACCACTGGATAAACAGCATGGCTAAATTTAATCACATTTCTGGTCCATCATTTTACTTCGTCAATAAACTACTAAGGATAACCGCTGTAGTGGATAGTTCTTCACACAAGATAAAAATGATTTGTTGGATGAAGTTACCTAGTCCAAGAAAATTGCATGAAGTCTAATCTGTCGCCATAAAGAGGAAGAATTTATGAAAATTAAAGGAATTTCCATCACAAGAGTTTCCAGTGGCAGTTATCTGTTTTTTCGTTGTTCAAGATTCATATCGAGTAGGGGACTGTTCATCTTGGTATGTAGCGTATACTTACTATCTGTAGGTGCTTCGTCATATAAATTAATGGGATTCATTAGTTAATTCTTATAAAGGCCTAGAATAGCCAGTCAATCATCATAAGTTAACTAATTGGAGGTGCTGTTGAACTAATCCAACATTTTAAAGCTCATAACAACTTGCAACTACCTTATAACAACACCAAAGATCAATTACTCAACTGGTACTGCTAAATGAACTGACAAATGAATGGAAAAAAAGCAAGAGAATACCACACATCATAACTAGAATATGAACAAAATGAATCCTTTTCTACAGATTTTTACACAGACAATTACTTCCTGTTGTGTTCTTGTTGATTTTACCTCCGAATATAATCAATTCTGATAGATTGTTTCATATGCATAAACAATTTACTCAACATCAGTACTTATCAAGCTTCGTCGTCACTACATAATTTGATTCTTCAAGTCGCATTTCAGAGACTTCAATTTGTAGTATATTGGATCCCATGAACCTGTCTCCAAGTTACACTTTTTGAATGTAAAATCATATCAAGATCGCCTTCATTCATTCAGCCAAACAAGAGTGTCAACCAATCAAATCAAAGCGACTTTCATCTATTCATTCAAACTGAAAGGGCTAACCAATCACAAATAAGCGACCTTCATTGAAGCAAACAAACAAAAGAAATCACCCAATCGCATAGTTGTATAGCTCTCTGAAACAACTAAAGGCACAATATCAACCAATCAGTTTCAACATACGCCTACACACTCAGTAAATGACTTATTAGGTTGTATTCAGGCAAATTACCTATTTACCATGTTCAACTAACTATTTCATTCCCTTCTGAAGATTTGATGCATTAATGACGATGTTCAGCATAATATTGAAACCCTAACTAAAATCTTAGCCCATGAAACAACTTACTCTGCTCATTGTTGAATATAACTCCATGAGATGATTGACTTTTGATTCAATTTCTCTTTTAGTGGATTTTTTGTTACCATTTTTCAACTGTTAGCGATTACGTATAACGGAGAAATAGTGTTTTGCCTACTACAATAATAATATGTTTCCAATAATGAATTATACGAACACATGCCATTTTTACAGACAATATCTAAATGTTATTTCCTTATTGAAGGTGTAAAAGTTTAAAAAGAAACAAATCATCATGCCATACAAAGTCTTCTGGAGTAAACGATTGTTTACATATTACCTGTCACAAATATTGGATAAGAGCGATATCGTTATACAACAATGGGGCTAATCAATCAGTATGAAAATCACTAGTGAGTCATAAAATCTATAAAAGTATATTGTATATCGAATGTTCAGAACAAATGAATCCGAAGATATGTTAGTATTCAATAAGTTTGTACTTTCTACAATTGGCAAGCGAAACCAGGATGGACAGCGGACACAAATTTGGGTTTGGTACTGCATGGTGTCATGCAGAGTACAGCAATTGTTTAGGTCTATCATGTTGTAAACAGAGTCATTTGAATAAGTAAAGCCAGGGATGTAATTCTAACCAACTGCTGTTGTCATATCATGGAGGAGAATATAAAAGGTTTCACCATCAAACTATCCAATAAGACTTCAAGGTCAGCGCATCATATGAGGTCACTCTCGGTTAGCTCCGTTTTCAGGTGAGTGGTTGTCAGAAATGAAACAACTTACATGTTTGGATGCAAATGGCATTTTATACCAACATTTCTAGTTGCCCTCCCAATTGGAGCTACGTATTTAGGAGAGGTTGTAGTTTGGGATAAATTGTCTATCCCCTGGTGATTTTGCATCTTTAGGTGGTAAAAGATGATAGTTCTCACGCATTGAATAGAAGTTGGAAGTGTACCTCGGTGCTTAGTGTGTTGGTATGACCCGCCATCATAATCTGCATTTCGGGTGGTAAAGAGAAACAGAGGCATGGGAAGTGAAGTTAATTGTCTTAGAATTTGGGGAAGCAATATTGTCAACTAGAGTATCTAAAGAGGGCACTAAGAACAAGGGGCTATATAGCCTAATAATCTACTTGTAGAATACCTTTGAGGTTTTATGTAGTACATTTCTCACGTCCTAGTTTAGGCAGTATTACAAATGCTTAAAGATGGTGACTCTGTTTTGCATTTGAGAACCAGTAAGAGCGTTGATATGCATATGCAGAGTTAGGGGAAGATGGTTACTATAATCCTAAGGAAAGGTAGTGTGAAGGGCGTATATTGGGTCTAATGACTTCAGGTAAAGGTGGTTTTCATAAGTCCTCACCATCAGATCTGCAATCTGGCGTTAAGCATTTCTGCATTATCTTAGTCCATCACTATCTTACCTACGTCATGCGCTGTCATTGCTTTTCCCCCACTTAGCCTCTACTCCCTTTGCTAACCGTAGTAATACGGCTAGCATGGAGGAGGTTAAAGATAGTTGCACTTGTCACCAGGTACCCGATGTTTTTCATAGTCTTTGTTGTGTTGTGTCTTCGCATATCCTTCATGGTTGGGAAAGGGACAGATAAAATTCATCATAAGCTCGGTCTTATTCCACCTCGTTGATAGTGGTCACTCGGCAGATAAGAACATTGCTTTCACGATTATACACCGCATACCATCTCATCTTTCAAAAGGTATTCAAACTCCTCCTTTTACACTTGTGGAGAATGTAATTACATTTTTAGAAATTAAGCTAACATTTCTTTCTAGTAGGAAATTTAGTATATTCTTTGTCTTAACAAAACAATGGTTTGTTATGTACACTTTTTCCTGATGGGGTTAACTTGAGAAATATATGTGCTAGCTACGACAATAGTATTCTGATTCAATCCATTGTTCTGTCAAATTTGTTTTCGAACATACAGGTGGTAACCAGCCTTGGTTTCAACAAACGTCAATAGATAATCCAACTACTTACCACTAATGAAGAACCCCTATATGCACCGTACCTTAAGAGATTCTACAAGCAACTTCATTGAAATTTGTGGAATTCGGACTAAAACATACATTCAAGCAACCAGTAGTTGTAATAACTCAAACATTTAATAATTGCAACACATTATATGTTTATTCATTTTATTTGACATACACATAGCAAAAGCTGTGGGAACATGAGCTATGAATCCTAGTCTTTGTATCCAGAAGAAATTTGTACATGGTTAGTCTCTCCGTTGGCCAGGGAATACTTAGCAAACAACTGTCATGAACTGACATCGGTTGGACGAACATTGAAAACCTAGAAGCACTGAACACCTGTTTCGTCCTAGTATGGGACTCCTCAGCAGTGCGCATCCATGACTCCGCCCGTCAGGACTCGAGCCCAGGACCTTCGAGTTCTGTGACCAGCACGTTGCCATTCAACCACTAGGTCGGAGTCTGATGGTCCAGCTCACGATGTAGCATGACCTACATCCAATGTCGTCGTTGAGTAATAGTCCTCATGTTCAACTTGGTTAGCTCCATTGATTCCTACTTCTCATTGGAACTCTGGGAATCACCTCTCGAAGCTAGTTACTAATGCGCACTAGATTAATTCTATCTAGGGTTTTTTTAGAGATTTATTAATTGATTTCAGGTTTGAATTCATCATGGACTGATATCCCTGGAGAAGTCACAGGTGCACATTGCTGGGGAGTCCCATACTAGGATGAATATAGTTACCATAGAGTACTGATTGTCATGTCGAGTAATCAACTTCTGGAACCAACTCCTAGGAAAAGTGGTGTTGGCGTCACATCAGTTGATTCGTTCAAAAGAAGAGTGGACAAGCTGAAAAATCTATTGAAGAAGGATTACAATAGTCTCACAACTTTCTATCCTCAAACTACAAACTTAAATTTTACTCTAAAGAGAGAAGAGGATTTCATTAAAAACAATATTTTTTCCATAATTCGCCTAGTTTTAATCACCACCACTAAAATGCTCTAAAACTAGATGGTGAATCAAGTAGACAACGTTACAACCATATAAATAGGCTCATTGTCATTGGAGTTAAGTTAGGAAAACAGATTTCAAATTTCGTAGCATTTCATCAGTACAGTCAACAGAAATGATTATTTCTCAGAAAATTAAGCTCGTGTTGTACAAAGCTACAATTATAGGCATTACTACTGTAGTGTATGCGCTACGTATATGAATACTTCTAAGTAGCGTACAGTATAACATCTCCGGAAAATGAAAAATATAAGAAAGAAGTACAAAAAACAATATGAAGAAACCACAGATTTAGGAGACAAACTCATCACGGATGTAGAATTCTGAGAAAATGAACATAAACTGTATCATACACCAGTATACGGATGGTAAATGATCAATTATACGACACGATTGGATACTTAAAGAAACCAAACTTAATGCTTCATAAACATTATTTGAAACCCTCTATCAGCTGTCATCAAATATCCTTGTTGATTTTGTCAGTCAAACAAATCGAGATGTGCCACAGAAGTGACGTCAAAGAGTGATTACATTTACCCCACTGTCACGCATTTATTCCTGCTGTTTTGAGGACTTTAGTAAGGCAGTCTGCACATCACTATATAGCTCAGATCAACAGTAAGATATTTCATGAACTGCTGTTAGGTTTTGGGCAGACCTCTCAGTTTTCTTCTGATGTAATTCTACCTTAGCTGATATTAGACATCAAAGTACACTGTGACTCAGTATGAGAACCGTATATCCAATCCACTTTAGGTTCACAACCTCATCAATCGACTTGCTTGTATTGCTTATTACCTTTCGCCTAACCCATCATTGCTCACACGATGATCACACCATACGTCAGCAGTGTTACGAAGAAATCTATGATCAAACCTTTCAACGGCCACGTCTTACAAGTGCATCGCAGCATACTCGTTCTTTGATATATAGTCCGGTATCTTCCGAGTCTATCCCGTAAATGATGCAAGTTGGCAAATGAAACTTCTCTAGCCAAGCTGAGATTTTGTCAGCAACCAGCTGGTGCAATTCTCGAAGTAGGTGAAGCAGTCAACGCGTTCCACCACCACTTCACTCCCTATCATTAGGCTGAGATTAGCCTCAGATCAGTCTTTTCTAACATCTGACAAGTGTGAAACACATGT